TCAGTAGAATGGGATGGGTGTCCATCAGAGGGAAGCACAGTGTATCTCAGTGCTGCAGGAAGGGAAGACCATGCTGGCGTGCAGGAGGGAACAATCCACTGAAAAGGAAGAAGGTTTGTGAACATGGGTTGAAATCTCAGGGTTTCTTTTAGAAAAGTCTTTCAAACTTAGGGCTAAAATCCAGCAGTGATCAGGAGGGGATGGGTTTTGCACAACTGCAAAGTGCCAGAGTGAAGGATTGCAACATCAGTGCATCCTGGTTTCCATCCATGGTTGGACAGGGTCGTGATAAGCAAAAGAGTTTGGCTGAAACCTGCGACCAGGAGAGAGCAAAATTCAGGAACTCTACCCAGTCCAGTACCAAACATCTTGGCTTGTTTAGCATGAGGTCTGGGCTGTCTTTTGTAACACCTCCATGTCAGCTCCAGGAGGACATCACCTTCACCATGAAATGGCAAACAGTATTTCCTCCTTCACCTTCACAGACAAAACCTACAGACATTCAAGGTCCACTTGTAATGAAGTTTTGTGCACAATTTATAGCATTCTCAGCTACCTTAACTAAAAACATGCAACTCTTCCATCTAGACTGCAGCATGGAACATAAACATTGGCAGCAGTAATGGGCAATACAGGAAAGAATCAATGACGTTCATTTTGGCTTTACAAGACTTGAACTCCTGCACCAAAGCTCTTAGGTTTACATTTTGTTTTTTTCATATCTCACCACTAAATTATTCCTTAACTGACTATTGTTGTGATTTGAGGAACTTTTGACATATTATAAATGCAAACATGCCCATAAATCTCACACTAAAAACTTACTATGAGAAGCCTGTATAATCATAAACAGTAAATATTTTGCTATGGCAGTGGCTCATAGGGGAAAAATTAGCATTTCACTTTGGTTTGGCCCAAATGTGTTTTGATTTCCTTGGAGGTTGTTGAGAGGTTTTTTTGGTTCAGAGTCCTGTAATATAAATAAAAATGTAGCCAGATGCTTGGTACATAAACGCATGACTGATGAGCAAAGGGATGTGAAAGATAATGCTCATCATCTTTAGAACACTAAGAAACAAGGCTACTGTTTTTAAACTGTATAAAATGGATGGCATAATCTAAATGTTAATATCCAGGCAGGATCACAGTCTGCCCATGGTGGATGGAGTAACTGGTGCAATTTGTTTGGGGCTTTTTCACACAATCTTTCCCTTAAGTTTCAAAACACTGTAGAGGCCCCAGTTTCACAGAAGAGGGCTGGAACATGCTGGTGTGACCATGTCATGAAGCAAAGCAGTAATTTCCTAAAATCAGTGCAAGTGGGTGCAGGATCTGGCTCACATTTTTGTTCTTCTCGTCACTGCTCTGTCTAAAGTTATTGGAAGAAGGAGGTTAATTCCCTCCTGAATGGGACCAGAAATATCTCCGCTGGATATCCAGAGACTCTACAAATTACAGAGATCCCTCTGGAAAACGGATTACTTCTTTCATTCAAGAAAAATTGGGATTTTTAATATGATCGTGTGAACTATACCCAAACAATAATTTAACTCTAAATTATGACTAAGAGCTGATCACATTATTAAATATATTATGTTAAATATTTATCACTCTACTGTGAGTGTGAATCTAAATTCAAGAGGTTTAGCAGTATGACAAACAGTTTGGGTTGATTCGTATTGCCACATTTTGCTTAACATCCCCCTAGATTCCAGTGTGTTATAACTGTGATAGCAATATCTAATCAATACCTTGTTTGTAGAAAAGTCTATAGCCATGCAGAAGAAAATTCCCAGCATCCTCTTCTCCAGAAAAATTTGCATTGAGTTTCGCATTTCTGTTCCAGTGGTGCCACCTATTGGTAAAGCGCACGTCAATCCATGGAAACGGTCATTTCCTCTGAGAAGCAATGGCAGGGACATGGGTCTCTCACCAAAGAAAGGCAGCTGCAGTCATGACATAGGCATCACCTGGGACTAGTTTGAGAGCAACTTCCTTGGCTCCTTTGGGACATTCAGCTCCATCAACCATTTTCCACCAAGCTTAGCTCATGTACCTGCAAATAAACTGCTTGTTGCTGCTGGGTTGAGTAGGAAGCCTTACTCAACTTGTCTTCTGCTTAGCCTGGCCACCACATTTATCCTCTATGGAAGATGAATTATTGGTCTATCCCATGATGGATGTGGTGTCCATGACAGTCTGCCCAACCCTGAGTGGATCAGACCAGCATAAAAGCTCTCCTTGGTTTGTCTGACACAGTGACTTGGCCACAAAAGCTCTAGCATGACGCTTTTAGTCCTGGATAACCATCTGTAAGGCAAGGTCCTAGAGGGAGTTAGCTAATACTACTTCCAGGAAACAGTAAAAACTCTATATGAGTTACTTTGGTGTCTCAGTTCTTTATAGAGGCTAACTCTATTTTCTTTCATGATTGACTCAGGAAGGATTTTCAGACAAAATGAGAGAAAAAAAAAAAAAGAGTAAATGTTCCTGCTCTATGAAGATTAATAATTAATGCAGATTAACCACTTTATCTCCCTGGAGGACATCTCTGAGGAGAGACCCCTTGGGCAGCCTTGGTAAAGAGAATGGCAGCCAGCTGCAGCATGAACAAACCTTGCCAACCGGGAGACCTGTCCTCAGTACTTTTCTGCACAGTTTAGACTTGGAAATGACTAAAAGCCTCATGGCAACAGACACTGTCAATCATCTGGGGGTATCAGCAAACCTGTGCCAGTCCTCCCACAGTTCAAAGCACTCATTTCCTCATCACTTCCTCAGCTGTGGTTTTCTTGCCAAGGGTGTGCCCAGATTTTGGGAGCTGGTGAGAGGAGAGGAAGTTCAGAGGGAGAACGTGGGTTGGGTAACCCCAGGATAGCCCCAGAGACCTGCAGACAGTGATCCTGCATGATGGGTCTGAATGGAAACATTCCTTCGTACAAACAAGAGGCATTGCCTGAAGAGTACCTCCTCTTAGTACCTCGGCTTGCAAAGGGCAGCAGATGACCCCAGGCTGAATCAGACCAATACCAAAGTTCATGGAAGAATCAGGAAGAGTCCTGTTAGGGGCACACCTCCTCCATGTTCTCACCTGACGACTCATTTCTAGCAACTGTTTCTGCCACATAATTTTCCATGTAGGCTGGAGCCAACCCGGAATGGTGCTGTTCACCTCCCCACTCACCTCCATCCCATCCTTTCCAGAATATCCCAGCTCTCCTAGAGCCCTGTCTCTGATCCCAACACAGCTCTTCCTGTCCCTTACACTTTCATTTCTGTTTCTTTACATCTTTATTAAACTGTATAGCCACTTTGATAGGAAAATTGAAAAGAAAAAGATATGACGAACAACAAAAAAGCCATAATTATGAAGATTCAATTTAATTTTAAAGGTTGTGGAAGGAGGAAAAAAAAAAAGAAGCAGGAGAAGAAGAAACTAAATTAATTTAGCAGGAAAGCATTGCATGAAATATTGTTGGAGTTTAATAACCATGCAAAGACAGATGATATGTGTGGAAAAATTAGTTGTAGGACCTCATAATAGTCTATTAATATTTTCTACAGGCGCAGAAACCCTTTGCTGAATGATTGTAACAAAGTAATCTTCCTTTTAAGACATTAAAAAATATCTTCAAAAGAGGAAGACGGCGGCAATGTACATACTGTACAGAACGGAGACCCCAGTGATGCATGTCAGATCCCAAGCTAGATTCAGCACAGGCTTCTCTGCTATGTCATGATGGAGGATCCCCCACCAGGCTGCTTGGTGGGGTCAATTGTCCCAAATGGTGGAGGAGGCCCCTTGACACACATCTCTCCCCAGTTTCTAACTGATGAGGAAAGGTCTTCCTCCTGGCAAAAAGAGTAAAAGCCTCTTCACTTCTAAGGAATGAGGTCCCCTGTTTGCTGCGGAGACAGTTGTTCTGGGTGGGCAAATCTGGCTGGGAAATGATCTCCTGAGGGAACTATTCTGTGTGCAGTCACTGCTCCCAGACACAGCTGCTCGATAGAAGTAGTTTCTCCTTTCTCCAACAAGAAATCCTTATGCTGTATCTTCCAAAGAAAAGCCCTGCCACTTAGTGATGTGCAGGCTCCTCTAAAGGGGGATGCCCAACATATGCTTATTCTTTCAAACAGCCCATTCTGTCAAAGGCCGGCATTGACCTCGAGCATCTCACAGTAGAAGAGACCAAGCCCAGCACGCATCAGTGGGTCCAGGTGAAGAGGTCCACAGAGGGGCCCCTGCCCAGCCTCACACACAACTGTGCTTTTCCCTCTCCCCTTCAACTTCAGGGAAAATCAGCTCGGTTGCCCTCCCTCCTTGACTATCATTATAGTTCTGCTCTCTCTAGGTATCACACCATATGAGGCCAGAATTCAATGACCAGTCACTATTTCCAGCCACTACTTTACATCTAGCTGTCATCATGGTGTGATGGCAATGGATGGGTGCACCACAAATGAAGATGGAGCAACAGCTTTTTTTAAAGCAGTCTTGCTTTAGAAATGTCATGATCAAGCTCTTGCTGAGCCTAAAACAGCTTTGAATTTGGTCCATGAAGCCAGATATGGCACCAGAGCAGGACAAGGCTGATGTCTGAGGGCTATGCTGATTGTACAGCCTTATGACAGTGCAAAGAGAAAGGTTCTTGGGATGACTTGTCATCTTCTGTTCCCCAGCACAGACAGGGCAAAGACCTCCCCGCTACAGCAAGATCATGGAAAGCTGAAGCTGATATTGAGGAGCAGCACGCCCAGAAATAGTGCTGAGCTGAGGCATTGGTGTTGCTCAAAGGCTGTGGAAGCTGGAAGGAGCCCATGTTTTGGGAGGACAAAGCAAATGGTCAGGCCACAAGAAAGTCATACCCATCCTTCAGCAGCATATGGCTGGTCTCTAAAGATGCATTTGTAACATCAATCTGAAGGGCTCTGCACATGAAGGGAAGGGCAGTGGTAATGTTTCTGCATAGTCCTGTGAAACATACACACACACAAGCATATATGTGCACATGTGTCTTTAAAATTGGTGTTAACAACTGACTCAAGTAAGCCATTACCATGACTGCATCAAGACAAAGGAAAGGGAGCAAGGGAGGATAGGTCTCCATCTGCAGACTTTTTAACTTGGTCTCTCGAAAGAATGTATTTCCTTGGTCCTAAATGGGATTTGCTTTAGCTCCAGACAAAACCCTTAGGATCCTGTAAACTCAACTAGGTCACTTCTTCAAGGAAAAAAAATAAAATGAAATAAAGAAATTAAATTAGATGCTGAAATGAATAAAATAAAATAAACCGAGGACAAAACCAAACTGCAATTCCTCATTCAGCTTCCCCTTTCTCCTCTTTTAATCCATATAGTACCATCCAGTTCCAGCCTCCCCCCTTTCCCTTTTTTTAAATACAGTCTAATCCTGAGTGTGAACTGATGTAGTTTGTGTGTCGGGGGTGGGGGGGGAGGAAATCTCTCTCTCTTTCTGCCTTTTTTTTCCCTTCTTCTTTCCTTGGCCCAGTTCATTATTTTTCTTTCTTGTCACTCAGTGTGATAGGTTGAACAGAAGTGCACAGATGAGCACTGAAAACGGTGTCACAAGGCCTTAATCTAGTCTTTAATGCCTGACTTCAGAGATGTCATTTATCTTCTAACTGCAGCAGGCTTCCACCAACTTTATCTCTAATAATATATTGATGGATTAAAAGGGTCGGGCAGGAGACCGGGCTGGAAAAATTGCTTATTGACATCAAAATACAGTGCCCTCAACCTGATAAACATGGAGGGGCTCGTGTATCTCCCAGAATAGTTGGCGTTGCTATAATTTTTTTTTTTCTACCATGTTTCTCCCAGGTTCATGGGGTGGTCCAGTAAAATAAACAAACGGAACAAATAAATAAGAAATACAGGTTCTGCATTGACGCAGCCAAGTGGAAGCCCAGCCATTTCTATAATAGTTTCTTAATGACAGTGCTGTGCAGGGCTATTTATTGCAGACTGCAAGCCACGTTTCAAAGCGACCTGACAGGGAGAGGCTGCCATTGTTTTAGGCAGGTTGGGGGGTATTAGGACATGGGGGATGAGAGATTGCAACACCCTGAAATAGCATTTTGGGAAGCTGCTTCTTTACCCAGTGGTATAAGAGTCAGGAGCTGTCTAGCAACCTTTATGGCTGAAATTCATCCTTTGCTGCACAGATCTCGTGCAAGAAGAATTAAACAGGAGAGAAGGGACTGCACACACAGCATCAGCAGCAATGCTGCCCCTACCTCCGCTCTCCACTACAAACCTGGCAGATGGGTACCACTGGGGAAATGATAACTCCTGGGCAAGACACAGCCTTTCTCATGCCCCAGATGCAGCCAGAGAAATCCCCTTTGGTCCTCAGCCACCATGGGCATATTGACTTGCCACTCATCCCTGATTTATCTGTCCCTTTCTGATTCCAGCAATTCTCATTTCACGTATTGGCTTAGGAAGAGCTTCTCCAAGGCCAAACAGCTCCCCAACACTACAGGAACAAATGTACCTGAGACTCAGCATCCCAAGAGCTCTGCCAAAGGCAGCAGAAAGGTTCTCCAATGTGCTCCAGTTGGTTTTACTAATCCTGCGGGATTACTGGCAAGGAAAGGCAGTTACAACTGGCACTGATAGAAACAGCCACAGATACAAATGGTTTCCTTACAGTGGAATGATGACTCAAACATTCACTGCACAAACATTGCATTGCTGGGGAAAGGTGGAACCCCTGCTGAGTCCATTGCAATGTGACTTTTGTTTGTCTCTTGCTGAGGAAATTTGTTGGAAATAGGAAAACTAAAAAGCATGTATCTTCATGCTGAAAGCTCCAACATTTTAAGCCTGACTGATAGTAAAGCCAGGCTGAATGGCAAACTCCCAAAGCCTTCTCTTGGAAGAAGTTGAGAAAAATGTCCTGAACAGGACATCACATTTTGCACTGACATTCCTGGTTCATTCCAGCTTGAGTTACAGGTGCTCCCCACCCTGTCCCATTTGTCCTCCAATAGGGCTCACCCAAAAATACCACCCATTGTGCACTGCAACGGACATATCCTCCAAAACTGGTGCATGAGCCACTGAGACAGATGCAGAAACACACTTTGTCACCAGGGAAAGCATTTGGTTTCATTTTCCTGGAAAGAAATCCCATGAAAATCAATCTCCCCACAGAAAATTTTGATTCTTGGCAGAAAGCCTTTTTCTGATCAGGAATTGCCTCAATTCAAAAATACCTGAGCAACGATGATTACAAGAAGAGTCACGTTTCATTTCTGCATGCATTGAGAGGGATTTTGTGTGAAGGCAAGCTCGACGGTCCTTGTGGAGGTGACAAAGTTATGAGCATCATCATTGCAAGAGTTTTTAATTGTCAGGACCTCAGGCTGTTACGATCATACCCCAAAACTCAAGCTAGGTGGCTTGGAACAGTGTCAGATCATAGAATCCCAGGCTGGTTTGGGCTAGAAGGGACTTTAAAGCTCATTCAGTTCCAAACCCCTGCCAAGGGCAGGAACATCTTCCATCTTTGCTCCAAGCCCCGTCCAACCTGGCGTTGAACACTGCCAGGGATGGGGCAGCCACAGCTTCTCTGGGCAACCTGTACCAGTGCCTCAGCACCCTCACAGGGAAGAACTTCTGCCTTAGAAGGTCTAATCTAAATCTCCCCTTTGTCAGGTTAAAGCCATTCTCCCTTGTCCTGTCACTACAAGCCCTTGTAAAAAGCCCCTCTCCAGGTTTCTTGCAGGCCCCCTTTAGGTACTGGAAGACTGTTATAAGGTCTTAGAGCCTAGCAGAAACCACACTTGCCTTGAAAGAGGTCCTTAGCTTAGAAGGGATGGCTTCATGAGAACTAACAAGCTTATTGAGGTTTAAAGACTTATCCTTCCCTGATAGATGAAAATAATACTGCAGCACATCACATAGACAACATCAGGCACAAAGATCTCTAGAACACAGAGCTCACAACTAAAGATCAGTGACCACGTCCCATACAAATAGGCTCTTGGAAGACCAGTGCTGATAAGTACCATTCCCATTCAGGAGCTCTAAGAAACAAAAATGCCAATAAATAAATAAATAAAATAAATAAATTGGGAAAAATTAGCCTGATGGTCTCTGGTAAGCAACCAAGCCATAACTTCAACTGTGAGCATTGCTCTGGGAGCAAACAGCTGAGCATCACACTGTCTGGCATCCCATTTCCTCAGATGGCAATGATTGGCAGGTGTTCGCAGATGGAAGAACACAAGCCTTGCATTATAAGATTATCTTCCCAAAATTTACCCATTGAAGCACTGAATTTATCAGCTGAATTTATCAGCTGAATTGCCTCAGAGTTGTGGGAACTGCCTCTGGCTGACTACTCGATGGGAAGAACGTCTCCGATTGTTTTGGTGTGTGGAACTAAAGCAGCTCAGCCACTTTCCCCTACACCTGCCAGTCACTCCTGGTTGCATTTTATCTGAGCAACACTTCCTAATTTCACTATAGTGAAGACTATCACAATACATTTTTGCAATAGGTTGCTACAGTGCCAAACCACGAGGATTGTTACACCTCAAATAGAAATTGAGTAAATTACTGTTAAAAATAGCGATTTAATACTCATCTTCTGTTAAGGAAAAAACCTCAACCTGATTTTTTTTAAAGTGTCATTCTTTACATGTGTCTCCTTTTTTCAAACTCCTTGGCAAGCAGAGAAATACCCCAAAATGAGGTGGTTTTCTCCCTCAGAAGCAGAATTCTCTGAGGCTTTTTGCAGGACTTTGTTCCCTTCCCACTGAATTCCCTGGATGGCTCCACAGGGATATAACCAGCACAGAGTTTGCTGCTTGGTTTTAGCACCTCACCATTCTCTAAGACCTTTTGCAAATCCCCTTTTTCCATTATTCCCTTTGATTACTCCATCCCTCTTCAAATTTCCAGCTAATCACTTGCAATAAAAAGGGGGGGGGGTGGGGGTGGGAAGCAGCATTTCTCATCCCAAAGATGAATGTTTTGCATGGCCATTTACATGGCCATGAGGCACAGCAATGTGCTGTGCATCACAGGTCAACTGTGAGCTGCATCCTGCGGCCACTCAACCCCTCCACAGACCCTGCTGTAGTATTACTGCTCTGCTCTCAAGAATGTGACACTAAGGAGGCATCAACCATAAATTACAGCTCTTCACTGCCTACTTTTACTGTTGTCCACAACATTGGGGTTTTCTCCCCAAGGCTCAACTATTTTTCACTGTTAGGAATTAGCATATTTTACATGGGAATGATTTTGCTACTTAATGGACTAGCAAACTCACTAGGTGGTGTTATTTTTTTTGCTGCTGTTGGTCATTTAAAATAAAGACTATCCAGATCATACTTGGCCATCCTTACCTGTTTTCCTATTATTCTCCAGAAATAATTGCCAATGATTTAATGGAGTGCTTCCCAAAAGGCTTGGGCATGCACATCTATTTGTTGTACTGCATCCTTCGTCTTCCAAGGTGCCTTCTCCCTCAAGCCACTTTTCCCCTGAAGAATCACACTGTCAAAGCCCTCATTATATTATAACTTCTATGCCCCTCTTCTCTTCTCACCTTGTTAAATACTGTTGGAGCACAGGAGTTCAGTAGCTCTACCATTTTAGCAACACATTGATTTTGTCTCCCTCTTCATTTATTAATGGAACTACTTTCTCTCTAGTATTCCCTTTTCCCTGATATAATTGTAAAAGCTCTCTTTATTCCCCTTAAGCCTTTCTGCTCTCTGAGCTGGCCTTATCTTTTCCCTGCAAGCCTTAACAGACTGTATATTCTTGTTTAGTTCTCTTTCCCTTCTCCAGTTTTCACTATAGGTTCTTTCTTTACACTCCTATCTTTTGCTGGTGCTTTGTTATGCCACATTGGATGCTACTTGTCCTTCCATTTATTTCAATGGGAACAGTAGCGTGTCCCACTCTATGGTGCTATTCTGGTGTTTCTGGCCTTCTCTCACCCCTCTGGATTTAACACCTCTCCCTGTTGCACCTGGTTCTTGCCTGGCCACAGGCACCACATGAGGTGACAGGCTAGAAAAGCACCATCTGTGGCAAGTCCCGCACCTTGACATCCCAGGTATAAGTTCCCATCTAGAAGGAACCAAAGCATCTTTCCCAAATTACAAATCCTATTTTTCCCACTGGCAGTTCAGAGCCAACACTTGGTTGTGAACTCCAGGCCAGAGCATTTCCAAGAAGCAAGAGGGCAAGCTCACAGTGAAGTTTTAATTATTCTCTGAAGCAGTCCAAAGGAGGCAAAAGACTGGATGGATTTTACCAAGGCCTCTGTGAAATTTCTGAATGGGATCGTGCATTATAAGCACTGCAATATCAATGAGACAGACTGAAGGGCTCATGGTTCTCTGGGTCTCTTGCTTTTTGCAAGTGGAATATCTTCCTATTCCAGGAAAGAAAAAAAATCACAGTACTTTATGAATGAATCATCATTTCACCCAGAAGAATCAAAGCACTGCATTTTTAAAATATGGAAACATGCTTCAATTCCACTAGATTTAGAACATGTTAAAATGAGGCCCTTTCCTGAAATTGTGACAAATTCACACAATTCTTCTGCTAAGTCTGAATCTACATTTTCCCATACAAAATGTTTGGGATTGTTTGTTTCATTGGTTTTTCAGCAAGTCCACAAAATAAAGATAGGAATTATCACAAGACCAGAAAACAATGCCTTTGAGGAAAGATTGAGGAAGCTGGGGTTACTCAGCTGGAGGAGAGGTGGGACACTGCTATAATCTCCAAGTACAGAGAAGGCTTATGGAAAGAGGAAGGGATAGCTTTTCTTCCTGGTAGGTAAGATAAGTAGTCATGAGCTTAAACCACAGCAGGAGAGGCTAAGGCTGGATATGCAGAAATGAGGCTGCTGAAGTGCAGAGACAGGCTATTGGGGGAGAAGGTTTTGCCCGTACTGGTGGAGGTGTCTGCAACAGACAAGACCACTACCCAGCTGGAGCAGGATTTAAAAGATGCTGCTGCAAAGGTCATCCCAGGGTCCTTTCCACCTCTCTCAGCCAAGGATTTCACTGACACTGCTGTCCTAGCAAGCACCAGTCTGAAATGCTCAATGTTTTTTTGATACTGCAGCACTTTTATAGCACTATGTGGTTTTGGTAGATCCAGAGAGGAACATCTCAGAAGACCTGCTTAGTCTCCAAATCTCCCATGAAGCAGAGCCACTATGGTAGGAGATGCCTGTGTTCAGCACTGCTGAAGCATAAATTTCTGTAAAAACATTATCTAGAACATAAAAGAGTCAGACACTGAAATACAGCTAGATCCATGAAGCCAAAAGCCCCAACACTTGCACAGGCATGGGGGGACAGGGATCCTTTAGGGAGTTTGGCATTGCTCCCTTCTCTAAGTGTCCTCTGGTGTGCACAGAATTTGTAGCACAGTTAATTTCAGGAAATTAAAGAGAAAGGGATATAAGGAAGTTGCCTGAGCTGAGAGGTTGAAATGAGAACATTTGAACCTGTGTGGCAGGGAAAGGTTAATTATAACCCATTTCTTTGGAATCTATTTGCCAGGCATTGAATATTTGTAGATTAACAAGTAGTAAGGCCAGAAAAGATACTTAAATTGTTCTAGGCTGGAAAGACAGCGATGGGGACTGTGGCAGAATAGAGCTTGTGTTTAGGCCAGAGGGCCACAGTAAAGACGCTTGTCCAAGAACTGTGGGAGGCAACTGGCTAGAAATGTTCTAGATTGGTAGCATCAGTCAGGAAGCTTCTGGAAACTGGAATAAGTGCAGTAGACTTGGCTGGTTTCATCACACAGATTCTCAGCTGGTTTTGGGTGTCTCAAAACCAGTGCAATGAACCCCACACCAGCCTGGACACAGCACAGCAATTCCTGCTGGGGAACAAACATCAATGTCAGCACAAGGCTTTCATCATCCTGCAGAACAGCTACAGAGATGGTTTGATATAACACATTGCTAGATTTGCTTCTGTGGCTGTCTTCTAACAAACTATTGCTACTGCTGTTGTCACGAACAAATATAATCATCTATTTAAACTAGTGAGGAAATGTCACACATCTTTAAGCAATTTGGAGGAGATTCTCCCAGCAAAGGGGTGAGTTTTGCGGGGTCCCTGGTGGCCCTTGCAATCATCCCTTTGGCACAAGCCCAACAAGTTTTCCAGTCCAGGAGCTAGCTCCAGGATGGTCTGTTGTTAGGAAAAGGTGAGCCAGTGCAAACGCCATCAAGCTTGGAACAGATGTCAACACAATTGTATTGGGATGCTCAAGGACATGAAAATGTGGAGTGTAACTGTGTTGGTCATACCATCCAACAAATCCAACCAGGCCAGCTGCAGAAAAAGAAGGCAGCTCCTGATCCTTGTAACTTTCCTAGCAACATTTCCATTAGTCCAGCAATGATCTTTCCAGCAATTTGGGAACCTTCTTCCTGCAAGAGAGCAAAGATTGCATATTAACTCTTGAAAAGATAACACTATGCCTTCAGCTTGCCACATCCAAACATCTCCTTTCTTGGCTTTCCTTCATGCAAGAGCACAGGATTAGTCCATTTTGATGCTTTTGAAGACTGTATCACACAACCCCTTCCCTCCACCATTCATCTCCAGAGCAACTGGGGGGTTTGCCTTCTTGGCTTTGCTGGGACACACTTCCAGAGTCCTGATACCGTAAGGTTAGAAGCACAACCACAACACCAGTCCCAGCATTCCTTTACTCATGGTGGAATCATGGCAAGTCTTTAAGCATTTGAGGGAGGGGGGATGGAGGAAGGAGTTCCATGTTTGCAGAAAAAAGAAACAATAATTCCTTCTGCAGTTTGATGTTAAAATAAACCATAAAGGCTTGTAAGCTGCTCTGAAGCTTGAATGTCAGAAGTAGACCCCGGGGATGTGGATTAGAGGGCACAATGAAGGTGAGTCTGTGAAATGAGCATCACGGATCTTTGGACGATTGTTAATAAGAACACAGAAATGCAAATCTCCAGGAGCCGGTGAGGCATCAGCCTGTGTGCCTACAAATACACATGTGACTCCAATCAAATTAAGGGAGATTCACACCATGATGGTAAAAGGCACATGGCTGAACTGATGTCTATTACAGAAGAGAGGCTTATCTCCTGCTGGCGGACAGCAAGAGGTCCCGCACAGAAGCAAGCCCAGGGCCCCTTCTTGTACAGAAAACGTAGAGAAGTGACCCTACCTAAATGAGGCTGGGTCTATTTATGGTCCTCTTTGGGGGCATTTGGTCACCTTATGTAGCACTACCTAGAGATTCCCTTACATGCGAAACAAGCAAATTGCAAGCAGTTTAGTGAATCCTGACAGTAACTACAAATAACACATCTGATGATCTCCTTTCTTCACTTTTTCACTTGGTTTTGTATGGGCATCCATCCCAAACTTCTTATGAAGCTGAGGTGCTGCTAGAGAAGAAAACTGAGCACAGTATTGTGTACCAGTTCCTCATTCACCAAGGGCTTTCTTCTGGCTGGCTATGACTTGAGGTTGCTCTTTTGTTTTGGGTTTACAGGTTGAAAATGAGCCCTAATTTCAGACTAATGCAAGCTTTGCTGTGCAAATGAGTCATTGCATGCACCCTTTGCATAAAGATAAGCTCTTATAGAAGTGGCTTGTCAGCTCAAGACCCGATGAGAAATGACTAAAGCTTCTACAAGCTTTGAGACTTGTTTTGACCAACACAATATTTGGGTTCTTGGGGATCAGCAGGTAAAGTGTTGATCAAGGGCCTCCTCAAGACCTGGACTGTGCTCAGAAGCAACACTGATCTTGGAAACTGCAGGCGTCTTCCCAGCCAGTACTCAGTCCTTACATATGACCTTCCACTTCTGTTTGCAGATGTTGCCATTGAGCCTTCTTCTCCTACAAGGGTTAAATGCAAGTCGAAGTGAACTGATAGGTAGCCACTAAATACATGATATATTACAGCATTTAGGGAAGGATAGAGAATATCTTTCCAGTCTCCCAAAACTCTAACTTTCAAGCGACTGCTGATTTTGCCCAACCTTAGTTTACAGACCTCCGGAAATGTTGTTAGCAAAGGCAGATACCCCATCCCTGGCAGTGTTCAAGGCCAGGCTGGATGGGGCTTGGAGCAACCTGCTCTAGAGGAAGGTGTCCCTGCCCGTGGCAGGGGGTTGGAACTGGACGAGCTTTAAGGTCCTTTCTAACCTAAACTAGACTGGGATTCTGTGGTCAGGCACATTGAAGTAAATGTGGGGACTTCCAACAGACTGAGAGAAGAACCCAAGCCCTTGGTGAACCTCAAATCCACGTCCCTCCAGAACTCTGCTACTAGCAGCAAGGAGAAAATGTGCCACACCAAAGTTAGCACTGGGTGGGTTTCTTGTTATGTCTCCAGAGCAGAGACAAAACAAGCTTCCATAGGCACATCCCCTCCTCCTTTTTCTTCTGAATCCTTTATTTCCCCCCCTTTCTCATTCTGTCTTTGCTTGCATTTCAAGGTTAAAAAAAGTCAGGATACAATAGTAAATATGTAAGATTAGCTCCTAAAATATGTTAGCAAGTGAAAGCTAAAGAAAGCAAAATGAATTTAAAAAAGGCTTTCTTGAAGCTTAGAACAGAGACAGCTCTTTTGATCCTTTATCACACACTAACAAAAAAAAGCACCAAGCAAGATACATATATATATATAATATACATATAATATATATTTATATACCCTATATGCGTGGGTATATGTGTGTGTGTGTGTGTGCATATGTGTGTGTGTGTGTGTGTTTTAATTCACATAGGCTTTCCTTTCTTTAAAATGCTGCAAGAAGCTTTTTTTTCTGCAGATTTCTTTTTCTTTCTTTTTTTTGATATTTCAAAGCTGGCAGTTCAGTAAATGGCTGGAACTGCCACATCTCTGTTCTTGCTAAAGAAATCAATGCTAATCCTATTACTGGCAGTTATCACCTATCCCAGAAACCACGGCTAAAAGAAAAAAAAACCACTGAGATGTCAAAGTAGGAAAAAAGCATGGGGGAAGGGGAGAAAGCGCCCTTCATTCACTTTCAAACAGTGATTGTTTTCTTATTTTTGATCATTTTTTCCTGTTAAGAGAGAAACTAAACCACAGGAAAAAAAGAAATAAATGGGGGGGGTGGGAGGAAGGAAAAAAAGAAATAAAAGGAAAAAAAAACAACGTTCATATAGCATTAAGGGCCTAGCTTAAACCTATGCACCCACACGTAAACCCTGGCATCACTGAGAGCTGAGGCTCACTCCACGGTGCAGAGGCAGGGAGTGGGGACCCAGTGACCAGGCAAAGAGCATCCCATGTCTCCAGGTCTGCTGCCCTGCCAGCTGCCACTGCTACAGGGCTGCCTGCAGATCCTAAGGGATTGCTCAGAGCCAGTGCTGTCAAAGCAGGGGGAGATGGAAGGTGTCAGCTCCTATTTGGGTGTGTTTGCCATGTAGGGACCCCTCCAAAGCACCCAGCTAGGTATCTGCACAGGGAAGGAAATTGCTTGAAGTTTGATGTGCTGCCTCTGCTTGATGCAGCCAGCTGTGAATGTGGCCAGACTCCCCTGCCTGCTCCAGATGTGAGCATACACCCCATTTCCTAATACCAAGTAATTCCCCTGATGCAAGTCATGCTCTGTCTTTCCTTCACATTTGCAGTTGTTCTCAAAAGGCCCAGGGAGGTTAGCGCAAATCATATTCACCACCCATATGGGATCTTGGAACCTCAAATGTCATTTTTATGTGCCTACATCTTTGCTTCTCTTCCCACGTGCCTCTACAACACAGTCTACACTACTTGAGCATCCTCAGTGTACACCCCACCTGCCTGGGATTTCAAAGTCCCTATTGTGGTCGTGATCAGAAGATGCTGAAAAGATGAAATTCCTGAGGTCAGCTCACGCTGTGAATGTCCTCTTTTGGCCTATCAGCTGGCCCTGACCAGACTTTGGGTGATCAGACATCCCAACTGAGTACATATTATACTAAAAGCTGAGAGCAGCAGCAGCATTTGAACCTGTGCTTTGGGGAAGAGGCATCCAGCTCCTATCCATTAGACCACACCATCCTCCTTGCCGATATGTTGAGGTCAGGCTGGTACCAGCCAAACAACTCACAAGTAACAAGCAGGAAAAGACAGCACAAACCAAATGAGCAGCCAAGGAGGAAATAAAATTAAACCCAGATCAAATGTTTGGAAATCAAAGGCTGGAAAAGCAGATAGCCAGGTATCTGCTCCAGCTAGCCACAAGTTGGTGCACTTCTGGCATCTGGGGAAGCATTTCCGTAGCAAGTCAATCTTACCACCTAATACCACCATGGGGATCGTTTCCAAACTCCCACTTTTAAGCAAACTCTCAGTTCATCCAGGGCACTGGCTCACTGGCCAATGAGCCAGTGGAGATATTTGGAGCCTGCTGGGGATATTTTTTTTCCATCTTGAAACTCTGAGGCAGAGTTACTACCAATTTAGGGCTTTGAGAATATCTTGAACATGTGCAAAATGAGTCTGCAAACCCTGGGGGAGTCAGCAAGGTATGAAAGAACCACTAGAAGCCATTATAGGAGGCACCAAAACCCAGACACTTAATTTTTGTTGTTATTTTCAACCAGCAAAACTGACCAAAGAAACAAAAAGCAACAGAAGGAGGAAGGTATTGGGCTTGCTCTCCTCTGCCATCTGGCTGGTTTGTAGGTCCGTTTGCTGCACAGCATTGTTCTTGCTCTTCCTGCCCAGCAGATCCACCACGATCACCTCTGATGGTCTGTTCATGCATATCCAGCTTCCCCTGCTGGCAAGTAGGAAGTAGGTGATGTAGGAAAGAAAATAAAAAGGGATGGTAAAGTCTTACAGGGCTAAAAAGCAGGCCATCAAGACACTATGGGTAACAGAGGGAGAGCAGAGTTAATGACACCTTGGAATAGATCAGGCTCACGCAGTCTGTACACAGCATGTCACAGTGCTGGGGCAGAACAGAGATATTTCCATCACAGGATGTGGCAGGGAGCAGGCAGTAGCAATGCTTGATAGCAAAACAGAGGTGGGGTTGAAAAGGAAAGTGTAAGGATTCTTTAGTACATAGAAAGACATGCATAAAAGCAATTCCTGCATGCAGCTGAGGTTTCAGAGGGGATGGAGACAGCTGTAAGAATATATATTTGTTTGCTTATGTTCGGAGCTGCTAAAGGAAAACAGTTGTTGGACAACCACAAACTAAAAATAGTTATGGTTTTACTCAAAAGCAGGACAAAAAATACCATTTTGCTATGAGTTTTTTTCACCAGTTCAGTACAGTGAAGTAATTTTTAACAAAGATTATTCTTTGGCTTGGGTAGGGAGAAAACATTAACAGTATGCCAAAGTAGCAACAGAATAATATAGGAGTCTCAAAAGCTTTCTTTTCTATAGCAGAAAACGGTGGTGAAACCAAATCTATAGCTTGCAGTGGTAGAAAACACAACCCCAACTGTGCACAGACCTAGAGCCCCCAACCACCTTCCTCCCAGCCCAGAAAGAGAAGGGAAAACAAGCAGGTTTTCATTTCCTAAGCAAGTTTTTCTTTCCCTGCTGGAGGACAGGTTTGGATGAGCCCTGCCTTACCCTTACCTGTTCCTTGCCCATCAGCAGGAGGGCAGTAGAGCACAGCATGATGACATATTTCTGATGGCAGGTGACAGCAGGACACAGACAGTGATGGAGGGACATTAGCAGGGTCCAGGGTATTCCTGTCCTCCATCCCCAGCCAGCCGGTGTGTAAACATCTGCAGGAAAGCAGTCCCTGAAGTAAAACAGACACAGCAATGCAACCACAGCAGGCAAAAGTGTAGGAGAGGAGATCATCATGTAGAAGAGGGGTCACCATGGGCGGTTTAAGCTGTGAATGCCCCCCAAAATAATTCCCCTTCTTAAATGCAGCACTTTAAGAATATTTTTTAATGGGGGGGGGGGGGTGTTTGTCCTTGTTTTCCACCTTTAAAATAAAGACGAAGCACTTAGCTGAAGATCCAGCCCACAGAACTGAACGGAATCAGCTATACTACCAGAAAATGAAAGTCTGTGTAATTAGAAGCATTATTCACTATTTATACAGTGTCAGCTCTCTCCCAGTATCAATATTTGGCAATTTTCTTTAGAACTATGTGGGTTTTATCCTCTTTTGTAGTTCAGTAAGTAGGAAGATGGCCCTACTGCAAGCCCTGGATTTGAAAGGCATAAGATCAGTGTGCCCCAGCAGCTACTTTCTGCCCAGGCTGTGCAATGCTCCCACGGGATAAAACCAGGAGGACTCCCATCTCCAAGTGTGCAGCAGGATGGACAAAGAGCTTTTAGGAGGGTGATAAATCCAGTACCTGCTTTCTCTTAAAGCACTGCACTTTTATAAACAGGATTTCCTCGTTTGCTCAGGCACCTTTTAGCTGCAAACAGCCATCTTGATTTCTAACTCCCAGCTCTCTTCTGCACGAGAGTCCTGCCAATGTGGTGCACACAAATGGCATGGTGCACACAAATGGCATTGTGAAAAAAAGTGGGGTCGGGGCTGGAGGATTTCAGTAGGGAATATGCAAACTGAGCAGTGATTGACCATGGGAAAGATTGGGAAGAGAAGCACAGCTCCACAGATCATTTTCCTCTCTCTTGCTGTGCTTACAAATGCAGCAGGGAGGAGAATGCAGCCAGTGGCAGGCACAGGAGGGGACTTTTAGGGATGCTTCCAGGCATCCCATCCCTTGCGAGCCACAGAACAGCCCTGGAGCTGCAGCAGAGGTCAGAGCCTGGAATTGCCCAGGAAACCTCCATCCCCTCCACCCCAGACACAGGCAGTTTTCCTGAGCAAACTGCCATTTCTTTGAGATCTGGAGATGCTTTCGCTGCAAGCAACAATGACAAGCTGCTAAATGGTGTCAGTGACTGTCTGTCTGAGCACCGGTTAAAATAAACTATCCTTTTAACGCCAGTGGCGTTCTACCACATCATCAGCACAAGGCTGGCTCAAGTCAGGGACTGATGTCTCTTTAATTATATAAATCAAAATAAATAAAATATCATGCCCTTGGGCCTGTTGCGGAGTGCTGAGCCTGATAGGAAAGCACTTGAAGGCAGAGTAGTTTTGGGAGAAGGCAGCTCGCTGCGCTGCATGCAACTGAAGGGAGGAAAGAAAAATGATGCTGAAAGATCAAACCCATGCATGGAAGTCTGAAGGAGATCAGGAGCTGCCGACAAAGCCCATAGCCAGGAAAGAAATTGCTCTGGCTCAAAACAAGCACGAGAAAAGAGCTGGGAAATAAGGATGTGTCAGGGCAGGAGGGCTGGCTCACTCCATTCAGTCGTTTTACACCCAATTAACCCAAACCACAGGAAAAATTCTTCTTGCACTGCTCATCCCAGTGAAAACAAGAGCTGCTGCGGGAAGGTCCCACTGAAATGGAGCTACTTTGGCTTCTTGCTATCACGGGCAAAACTTAATTTATTCAAATCAAGATCTCTCAGTCTAGGAAACAAGGAGATTGAAACTGTACATGCTCTTTCTCTAGGTTACTTTTCAACCCCATGGTCTTCTGGCATGGTCTTTGCAGAGCCTCAAGAATCATCTTTAATAGCCCATACGGCCATGAGTACAGGTAAAAAAATACAATAAAATTAGAAACTGAATCTAATTTTTTATATATATTTTTAAGGGAAATTTAACAAGTCACAACAGAAATGAATCCTTTCAGAACTACCTTGGAGAAATACTCTGCCTTTTTGAAGGCAGTGAACAGCTTACTAAAGCCACCAGCTAATTCTTCATCTCCTCGAGACCTTGAGCAAAGACTGGATGTATTTACAGGAGAGATATGCAAACTACTGCACCCCCATCACTGAGGGTGACTGGGCAGAACAGCGGTGATACGGACCACCCCATCCGGCCGTCACTGTGGTGTTGTCAAGCTGTAACATCAATGGGCCTACAAGCAGGTGAAGCGCTCATCACCAGCGCATAATTACCCCATCTCTAATCTTAATTTCAAGTATTTCCCCATTAAATGTTGGCTGTTTACTTTTCCAGTCTTAAAGAATTCGTATCAGAAAATGGCATAATGTCATATTTATATTATTTGGATATTCTGAGTTTACTGCTCACTCCATTGGGGGGGGTAGAAACCACGTAATATACGATATAAAATACATGTTTGTGCACAGTGTATAATTTAATGCATGAGATACACAAGATCTTCCAGCACAGAGTGTTTTAAACAACAGCATTTTAGCCTCCAAAGCACAGCAGCAAGGGAAACATTTTCCATGCTCAGTTTCTCTGCTATTGGAACATTTGTTTTTTATTCTGAATATTTCAGCACATCTATTTACCTGGCACTATGTTTAGTACCACAGTACCAAGATGGCATATATAAAGATTCAATTGCAATTCCCATCTGATGTCCCTTCCCTCTCCTTTTTACCCCCTTTTTTATGTCCGCACTCTGAATTCAGCACAAAGTTGGTGTGTTTAATTTAAAAAGAAGTAAAACGCGCCAGGAGACGCCTCAGACCACTGCAAATCACCTACTTTATAGAGGCAGTAAAATTGTGTATCGGATTAAAAATGATGCTGATCTGAAATTTATGATAACTTTTAATGGCATTATAATTTTTTTTCCCTGTGCGCTCCATCACTGAATCGTTTGGATGCACAGTGCAGCAAGATGAAATTTGTAAGGGAAGAACATTACATAGGCAAGCACCGATGGGGGAAAAAAAGGCAGTGGAATAATGCAAGAGCCCCTTTTGGGTGTGAGAAGGATACTGCCACCGCATGCTCTGCGTGGCCCGTGAGGTTGGGCTGATCGGTCCCTGTAGCACAAAGGCAAGGATGTGCTCAGTACTGTGGAGTGAAATACAACCCCCAGCAGAAGGCGGTTATTTAGGAGAGCACTGGGACTGAATCATGGTGAGTGTCTCTTGCAAAGATCTAGTTTCTGGCATGATTCAAGGTTCCTTTTCCCTCTGCTAGGCAAAGACTGCAGCAGATGCATCAGTCCTTTGGCTGTGTACCTTCCGTGAGACTACAGAGATCATCTGCCACCGGCACAGCTCTGTAGCTTCTTGCTCTGCTTAGGGCAGGTCTATAAGGACAACTCCAGCCAGCACTCAGCACTGAAATGGATTTGGTGGAGAGATGCCAGCTAAGTTTGTGGAGAAAGACCCACCAAAGGTTCTCTGTGTAAAGCCATTTCAAGTTTTTAAGTCATGGCTTGATCCTGTGGTGGTGGTAACACGGATCCAATCCCAGGGCATTAGGAACCAAGGGTATTTATGAGTGTGCAGACCCAGGAGGGCAGCAGTCTACCTTACACGAGTCAGATGCATACCAGAGGGACCAACGCTGCCCTCCATCCACTGTATATTGACAGAAAAGGAACTCACCAGGAATGCAAGCACCAACGACAACAGCTGTCAGCAGTCCAGCTGGCATCCAGGAGGGAAATGTCAAAGCATCATGTTGTTACCCAGGTACCACATATTTTCTGCCCAGCCAAGAAAAGAAAGCACCACTGTCACATAACTAAACACTGTCATGATAATACACATGACAAGCCACAAGCAATCTTAAAATCTGCCTTTCCCTGACCCTGACTTTGCAAAGCAATAGACATTCTCTAACAGAAACAAAGACAGTAGTGCATTAGTCACCCTGAAATTACTATAAATTGCTAAGTGTATGCATGCATGTAAACAGTGAGCTTATTAACAGCCACAGAACGATGAATCCCACTATTTCAATTTATAATCATATTTGTGCAAAAACAAACCCACAACAAGTCAATAGCTTGGAGTTCCTCGAGAGAAGTATCTCTGCATTCAAGGAACCAAAGTGGTGGCACTGCAATTTCTTAAAGGAGGTGCTGGGGAAACCAGCAAAATTCTGTGATACCACCCTGGTTTTGCTATTGCTGCCTTCAAAAGCAGGTAGTGAAACTTCCATTCTCCCCCTCCTCTTCTTCATTTATTTCATCTCCTCCTCCAAACTCTGTGAGACTACTCCACAATAAAATAATAACTGCTGTGATTGTTTTGCTGTATTATAGGAAGTCAAAACCCTTTTGAATTGTATTTTGCAGGGAACCTGCCTTTAAATCCGTGTGTTCCATCATTCCACAGCAACACATACAATTTCAAACAAACAAGTGAACAAACAATGGCCTGACTCTTTGATCAGTCTGTTTTACACTTTCCCTTCATAAACTTCTGTGTTTATTGACCCCACAGCACAGGGATACCTGCACCTGCTCCTCATAATTTTGCTTTACCTCCTTGTGATATGTTAGCAGATCTCTTTGTACACTCCCACCTCCATCTGTAAAACATTTTCTTTGTGCCCCTTTTGCATTGCAAGTTTTCCATAGCATAAAAGTATCTTGCATTAATCCATCCAAACTACAACTCTTGATTAAATCTTCTTGCTGCCATATCAGCAAGAAAAAGCCCCAGGTCCCTGTTTCCCTCCTGGGTGTTGCCACAGTGCACCCTAGCATCTCAGCTTGGCAGTTAGCCTCCACCCAGCTACAGAAAGATCAAAGGGTGGTTAAGTAGCAGCCCAGGCTTTATCCAATTGCTCTTATCAATCTTCATAACAAAGAGGAAACAACTCAACCATCTCTTGTGGGAAATAAATTGAGCACACTTCTGTACTTGCCTGTGTTCTCATTCCTTCAAGAATTAGCCCTATTGATGAGGCCCAGGTGAAGAGCTCCAGAAGCAATTAAAGCGAGTGCTATACCTCGAGGTGTACCTTGATAATATTTCTGTTCTTTTCACTATGCCCCTATCTCACACTAGCATCAACATGAGGTGCATTAGAGATGATACTTCATAAAGAAAAGCTGCACTTCACGCTGAGAAAGCCTTGATCCAAATGCACTTCAATTAGCAGAGTGCAGGTCCCAGGGACTCCTGGACAAGTTGCTGCTCTACAGATTAAGACAGAGAGATGTCTTGGAGTCAGGGAAGAAGAGCCAGGATGGGGTTTGCTTTATTTTTACATCCTCCACTCCTTATTTTGGCCACTTCCTGGTTGCCCTGCCAAGACCACTGAGCCAAAGCACTGACTAGACATCCTCTGGAAACCACAGGTAATGTATTCCCAGGCCCACCAGATCTGTCAGAGCAGACACCATATATTCAATCAACAAGATTCTGAGGCTTAACCTCATTTAAACATTTTCTCAACAAAGGTCAAAATTTATCTGGCTGCTGAGACCCCCGGCCCCATCCACTCTCACATCTGGAAAGGAAAGGTTTTGCTGTTAATTAATTCATTCAGATGAAACCAGCAAAAGTGTCAGTGTAACAAATTAGGCACTCATTGATTATTGGCTTAAAGAAAAGAGTTAATGGTTCTGTTCTGGAAAAGGGGGTTAGGCAGGTCTTTAAAGTGATACACACATGCAGTACTTTGCTGCTCATGTGGGCTCTGAATCTGGCACTTTAATTGTAAAAATGCATTTAGAAATTCCCTATTTCTCTTCTTCCCTTTTTCTGTTAGGATCGCTTCCAAACCGCCTGTGCAGCTTTCCACTGCATAATGTGTTTTGTGGACACAGCCCTGCTGCCTGGGCAGCTTGAAGGGAACGTTGGTGCTTTGTAAGTGAAGCTATGCAGAAGCAGTCTACTCCCTGCCATCTCCGTGGGAAAAGGGCCACTTACAAGCATCATACATGGGAAGCATAAAGAGACAGGGGAGCTGCATTTCACAAAGCAGCCAGCAACTAAGTCTTGGAGGAAACAGGCTTAACTCACTACCGCAGCTAGGACCCGGCCCAGGGGTCCTACTGAAGATTACCAAAGATAAACAGAAACAATTTGTGGTCAAGCGTTACAGAGCTAAAGGCTCTGCTTTAATTAATGAAATTACAGCAGAAGCAGAAGATGCCATCTACCAACAACACAGAAATACTCAAATTAATATCATGCCACCAAGGGCTGAAATTCATGTCACCCCCAAACTGGATGTGCAGTGTCCCTTTCTCCCTTTTCTTCCAGGCTTTATCTGTGACTTTGATAATGTACAAAGCAAAGCCAGACAGGAGCATGTAGCAGCAGAATGTAACAATAAAAACAGGTGTTTTAAAATTGGTGCAGGGCACTGCAGTAATGCTTGGGGCAGGATTCAAAGGGCAATTTTAGCAACATGTGCTGAAGAAATATTCAAGGCAACAGCAGTGGCATCCAAGGACTCTGTTTTTAAAACCACAGTGTGGTCACTGTTAGGACCTGATTGAAATTGTGCTTATTTTAATAAAAAATCTGGATTGTGGATTAAACTTCAGAAAGAAATCGCATAGCAGTATTTAACTAATCAAGGCTTTAAGTGACCTAAATTAAAATACTCTATAATGATAACTCCTTGGCTGGCTTAAGTCAGTTTGTACTGATGATGCATATTATATTTCTTATAATGGAGATAATCACAGTTAGTTCCCAACCTAGAAAAGCCACTTTGCCCTAGTAAGGCACACTTAGGACAACTCTGAAAATAAAAAGTATGTTTAACAGCATAAGGCACAGCAGTCAGCCAATGGACATAGCCTGCTTGTAGCCTGCAGGTAACTATGGCCATACTGAAGGGCTGTAAACCCAGAACAGATGCGTTCTGAGCCCAGTACACAGTATGGTAAGCCATGCTGTATCTTCTGAAAACACATCCACATCCAAAACACACTCCCTGTGTTGCCAAGAGACTCCTTTTCATCAGCTTCTCGCTGTTTTGCGTATAACCATATGTTTGTGGGAACAGGAAATTTTGCCTTTACCCACAGGACAAGGGTCAAGCCTTCACAAAAAGAAAGTTAGCACAGACCTGTAGCCCATCACCACCTTCTGAGAGAGGGGACCCACGCTAGTTGCTGCTGACAGTCACAGACAGCTCAGGCATCCTGAGTCCCCTCCTGCCTACCCAATTTCTTGTGCACTACACTAACATTGTAACTATTGTAATTACAAATACTAATTTGTAATATTACATATGACACCACTGCACTGTCTCACTACATGAAGCTCATACACTAGGTCACAAAATGCATCTCACTTCCCTGTCTCAAACAGTTATCTCTTGACATCGCTTGTTTTTACCTGGCTTTCAATAACCTGATTACATTTGCTTTCTTTGACAGCAATAAGAGACAACAACAATTTCTCCTATCAGTTCCAGACTCCTCTGAAAAAGAGCACGGCTACAGCCTAGTTTAACTGCATCAGGCATGTCCTAGGGTAACAAGGATATGATGAAACGCATGCTTTACAAGTGGGTTTTAGAAAAGAAAGACTACATTCAATGGCAGAAAAAATTGATTTACCCACAGAAAATATTACAAGCAAAAATCAGAGGTTAGAAATAGAGCTGAAAAGCAAACCATTACCTTCATTATCCAAAACAGGCTGTTTATTTGCAGCTCGAAACTGTAGAAATGACTTGGCTTAATTGTAATTAAAACCTTTTGGTATCTTTACAGCAGCAGAAGTGTTCGATGCAAAGGTAGCAGGGCCGTGAGGAGAAGATGATGCTACGACTTAGAACAAGGACATCTTGGGCTGCAAGGAGAACAAAACAAAACCCTGACGAATATGATATTAGGCTGAGAACAACTTGAACTGTGGTAAGAAAAGAGGGATTGTAATTGAATTTGTAAAAGGCCATACAGCAAAACTAGAGCTAAACTGTTTGCAACATACATTAGCTGAAAAAGGCATTTCAAATGAGAGAGTGCTGGGGAAAGTGCAAAAGCCGTCTGAGCTTGGTGCCTGCTTTTGCCTCAGAGCTGGCATCAAACAGCTCGCTTCATCTCCCTGGGACTGTGCTGTTTACCTGTAAGCAAGGGTAAAACTTGTCACTGCTCCCAGGCTGTACTGACATCCATGTAAGTGGCAATTACTCCCCTGAAGTGCCCTGTGTCCCCTGGAATGGACCTGTGGGTATTGTTAAACATACAAGATAATAATTTAGGAGATCTTGTTGAGTTATGTGTGCTTCTGCAACCCCCAGCCCCTCCACCAAGGTAGTAATGGGAGCAGTTCTTGCAAATCCTAATGACCATCTTCCCATTTCTGAAATAAACTCTTCGAGCAACTGTGTTGCTGAAAGAATTGCTGAAGGCAACCTCTGTGAGAGAAGAAAACCCTCATGGAAGGGTCAGGAGCTTTATTTTGCACTTACACAATCTAAAAAGGCAGGCACACATTGCCAAACAAGATAAACCATGTTACAGAAACCTGATCTTTAACACCAGAGACTCAGCAGCCATAACCCATCCGATCTACCTATGGCATCAGATACAGCTCAGAAGCAGAGAACATCGAATCCAAACCTCCATCCATCTCCATACCACCATGTAGCCTGGTGATGCGCTTCTGCAGTGCTCCTGAGTGAGTCGGGATCAGGCAGATTTCTGGCACACAAACCAGCGCTCAACTCCCTGGTAGCTCGCATAGTAACACACTGCCATCTGCAACCTTGCTGAAAGGGGTTTCACCTGTGCAAAAAAAAAAAGAGGTGAAAAACAGCAAGAAATGGGTGTGCTGTAGACAGATTTCACAGCTGGGTGTTCCCTTTGTGCACCATAGCCAAGCCGAGATCCATGCAGATGTTTAGGCTGGGCCATAATATTCCCTCATCCGCACCAGGGTAAACCCATCTGAATCTCTCAGGAGCCTAGAAACTGTGGGAAGGAGACATGGATGTCCCTCAACAAGCTTCTTTTTTAAAAAGGCAAAGGAAAATGAATGAGCACCAGAATTTAGCAATAGTCAGAGCAGGCCAGCATGCACTTAGGCTGAGATGCATCACACTTTGAGTTTGAAAAGTCTGTGTCTTACCTGTTTTAGGCACTGTATTCTTCCAGTATCAAAGGTGAGAGACAATCTCCTCTGGTGAGCAACTGTACCCACAAGGCACACACAGGAGGAGGTGCATGATGTGGCTCACACTAATGTAATGAATTCCGAAGAAGTCACCTTCAAGTCTCATCACCTTGTCCTTCAGTATCTGGTGCCTCTAACCTGGTCTGGATGATACAAGGCATTCAGCGAATGCATAAGTATGCCAGTTGCATCTGCACATTAAACCAAGAATAAAGCTTCAGCTGGGGCTGTATCCAATTCTTTGGCACATCAAGGATGGGAAAGGATGCACGGATGGCTTGTTCGCTAACCCACACTCTCCCTGCCAGAGAGCTGTGCCAGAAGTTATCAAGAAAGCTGAAAAATGAAAGCATGATACGCTGTGGTAATTATGTGTGCTTGGATATTTGGGGCTTTTAACAAGTGTTCTGCTTTTCAGTAAATATTCTTTAGCATCTCTGTTGTCCCATTGCAGCACAGTTAGCTGTAAAAACTACCAGTTCGTCCTTATTAACTCTATCCGTGCCACAGATGGCCACCCAGCTGCAAGGGGCTGAAAATAGTTAGGAGGTTTGAAGGGACCAAGCAGGCCATCTGGCAGGGTTGTAAGAGAAAGTTTAGTGGCATCAGTGAATAATCTGTGTTGTTTCAAGGATGGTAATTCTAACATCACTCAGTGGATGCTCAAAGTAAGTTTTCCCCACCTAAAGCAAAGAAAAAAGTTTCTTCAGATCCCTCCAAAAGAGACATCCTTTGGATGTGCCACCCACTCCTGACCTGCATTTATTGTTGTCCCTTATACCAATTATACAGGTAACACTACACTTGCAAGCAGCTTTGAAATCTCCTTCTCCTGCTTATTAATTGTCATCTCTTTGAATAAACACACAAACCCCTTGACTGGAGGTGTGTAAATATTTACAGGGCGTACCCAAGGAGGGTCAGAAACCAATACATCACCTGAAGGAAGAATGCTCAGCGACTGTAAAGACCTGATCTCACATTTGCCCTGAGCAATTACAGTTAAGTAACTGCAATACGAGCACATATTTAAGTACTTATGCAAGGAAAAGGGGCTGATGACCTCGATTATATTTGCATTGTGTTTCCTGTTGTTAGCACTTCCTTGGCGGAATTACTGCAATACATCTTGGACTCCAATTTCATCTGCCAGCTCCACAAGACTGCAGCCAGCCTTTGGAGAGGTCCAAATATGCTTAGAAGTTGAGCTGTATTTCTTCTTGTACAGCTCTTCTGTCCTGCCTCAGCAGCTGCTCACGTCTCTATACTGTTTTGTCAAGGACATCAGCAGAAGCAAATTTGTCCCAAAGCTCCTCTGAAACTCAGGCATCATCCTCAGCAGATGGACAAACACAGGTTCAATTGACTGGCATTTCCTGTTCTGTCAAATCTGAAACCACACATTTCAAAGTAACGGAATTGATGTTATTAATAAAAATTAAAAAAAAAAAAAAAGGAAAAAAGAAAAGGGGGGCTTATAAATTTCAAAGAAAAAAAAGACAAGAACTTCTTTTGCAGGCAAAGTTACAAAAATGTCAGAGCTGTAGCTTGGGGGAGGTGACATTCTGTATTTGCAGACAGTTATAAACCTAGTAATTTGTATATGCTTTTTCACCTGAAGACTCCATGCAGGTACACACCCAAAAAATACCATAAGGGTGAAAGACTATGAAGTTATTAAATGCCATAATTAGGGTGTTTGTTTTCTCATGCCTAAACCTGGAAAGAAGGACCCTAGTTATGCACTATTCCTATGCTGTTTTGCCTGCTTCATTCAGCACACAGGACTCTTAGGCTGGGAATAGCAAGGTTTTTCAGAGAGTGTGCTCAGCCTCCTTGTAGCTCATTTCCAGTGCAGAAGTTCCTCCTCTTCTGCCTGGAGAACATTCTTCATGGTTTTGTGTTGCCTTTATGGAGCTATGCATCAGTGCACATCAGACAGTGTACGGGATTCCATGAGCCTTTCCAAAAGCACTTCATGCGAGTCTACTCCCTGCCACCAAGATGGGATTTGACTTGCTTTAATTTAAACAAAAAAATAAGAAAATTTAAGTGTTACAGTTGGTTGGGGCACCCATTTGGACACTGCTGCATCCTGCATACAAAGTTCATGGTGACTCAAGCAGAAGAAGCCAGGACAGGCTGCTGTGGAATAAACTTCCTTAAGTCCTGAAACATGGAGACCTGTATCTTTTGTAATGCTTTTTTCTGGGTAACCTAACTGGAGAACTTGGTTACAGCAATATCTTGGGGCAATAAATTCCCTAAGCTATGTATGGATTGCTCACAGAAGTGTCTTTTTATCAGTTTCAGTTCTGTTGCGTTTCAAGTTTATTCAGTGTCACTTTGAATAAGGCGCTATTGTAATTGTCTAAAAAATAAATTTGATTGCCTGCTTGACCTTCTTTATGCCATTTATTACAGCCATTTCATTTTTTATTCATTCTCTCCTTGGAAGAAACAGACAATATTGTCACTTTAGCCACACTTGGAAGTATTTGTATTGCCTGTCTCTAATCCTTTGTTATTTCTGTTTCATTTTGGATGTGGCAAAAGCAGAACTTAACACTGGCTTCAGAGTGAGAGCACAAGCTCAGCAATGACAATGTCAGCTTCACCCTTATTTATGGTTTTTCTAAACAGAGAAAAACCAAATAAATAAAAATATATACAAAACCCAAAACCAAACAAGTCATAGGTTCTTGCTCCTTTTTGTTGGAAAAGGAATAGAGAATAAAGCAGAGAACGTTGCCGTGATGCTTACCAGTCCTGCACCGAGTGATGGTGCATATCAGATCACATTTCACAAGGTCCCACATAAGACCTGGAAAAGGTACAGAGAAGGGTAACACTGTCTTGGAAATGTTTTAGAAGGTTTTTGTGCAAACAAATGATTACACATATGATCTGCAAATCTGGTTAGTGATCTGTTGAGTCAAATGACTCAGAAGAGAATGAATATATCCATGAGCCTTCTACAGTGCCAGAGCTTGGCACTGAAGCTAGGGGTCAGCAGGCTCACACAGCTATACGACACCAGCTTTCCTGCCCTCCAATGGCATTAGCTTGCTCTTGCAGACCCCAACATCATTTCACCAGAGCGGTGTCTAGTTCCCCTGTTTTGTTGGGTCTTCTGAAAGTCAGTGATGCCCAGAGCTGATCACCGTATTTAACCATGGGATACCTGCAAAGTCAAATACTGACAAAGAACAGTCCTGCTGTGGCGTCTTGTTTTCCATGAACACTGAGTATCAATCACTTCTTCCAACCTTGAAGTCCACTTCTAACCAACAGTGCAACTTTATCAATCCATCCACCACCAAAGGATATCTTAGCCACCTGTCTGACTACTGGTTTGATGTACTGGCTTCCACTTAGAAATGCCTCATTTTCCATCATGCTAACTGGTTTCTCCTGTATTTTTCAAAGGGTGTTGCTTAGTCCTGCTTTTGGACACTATTACAACCTACCTGCTGGTGCTAATTTCAGCCTTGTTAGGTAGCCATTCTCAGCAGCACCCTGTGAATAGTTTAAAGCTCAGTATAACTGTGCCCATCCCACCATACAACTGTGTATCCCAGTAACCCTGCTGCTCAGTCCTGGCTGTGTTCATCCCAGCTGCACCCATAAGGATGTGCTACTCTTTGTATTATAAATGTTCTGCTGAGCACTACTGTGTTACTGTTGCTGTGGTTTACTGAGTCACTCACAAGCTGTTTCCAAAGCTGGCCCTCTTCTCTGGTTTTGCTGTTTTCCACACAGGCACAGTATTTCTTCCTGGTCATGGATGGGCTGGTAATGAATGCTATGAAATAGCAATGGGTTCCTGCAGGAGGTGTATGGGATGGGATACAGTCCAGGACCTGCAAAAATGCTTTCCCAGCTATGCAAAGGGGTCGCTGTTTAATGGCAGGCACAAAGCCCTTCCTCGACTTTGGATGAATTCTCCCTTCAGCACTAGGAGCTTTTGCCAGCCTGAGAAATGAGAGGCTGGGACTCAAAAGAAGTAAGCTTTTAAAGCATAAATGGCCAAGCTGATTTACTTTCAAACACACAACACTAAAAAAAAAAGCATTGCTGTTGGGCAGGACCTCATTTGCCAAGTTTCAACAGAGCAAAATTTTACAGCAAAGTTATAACCACTTTAAATACCATTGTTGGTTTATAATGGAAAAGCTGGCAATCTGTTAGCTAAGACTGCTCTTCCAAGGGATGCTTTACCATCATGCGTACTCCATGTACATGATAATTTGAAAATCCACGTGATAAATTTTCGATTGATGTGATAAACCACATTAAAGAATCCTTAGCCACTTCTCCCATGATTTTCCCAGATCTAGGACATCTCCAGAATTTCCCCCAATAGTGCAGTCCCCTCAACCAACCCCTCAACTCCACTTCAAAAGCAGCTTGCCAAAAAAACTTTTGTTGCCTCACAAGGTTGTGAAATTCCTTTCCCAAATAAACCACACAGAGGAGCAACCATAGCCTTAAGAGCCTTAAAGAATTCTCTCTGATAAATAACAACAACAGAAAAAGAATACTTCAAGTCTGGACAAGAGACCATACCCCAGAGAAACCAAACTTGAATGTTGTATTGATGAATGGGTTCATGCACCAATATTCATTCATCCTGATATTAGCAATAACAGAGAGACATTTAAAAGTGTGTTACTACTGGCTCCTCCTTGGAGGTGCTGGAGACGTAGACTAACTGAATCACATTTGCAGAGGAGAGCACAGATTTAGGTGTCTGTGTTAAATGACCCTTCTGGAAAGTGTTACATTTAGCCACTGTTTTCCTGAAAATCTCTTTTGGGGATTTCATCTGGGGACCACAGAATAAAGCCAACCCCAAACAGCTTCTTCAGCAAATTTTGTCCAGGACAACCAAATATAGAGGGCTGTGGGACGCAGGAAAAAGAAGTCCAATTATATTTGTGTGAACTAGCTTCAGCCCTCTCTTTCATTGCTCCTCTGCGCCAGCTGCCCGAGCAGTTTGGATGGAGTCTCCCATACCTCCAAAGCATAAGCAAAGTGAGGTCAAGGTGTGGTCCCAAAGCATGAGGAAGTTGATGAAGACCCATCAGCCTGTTTCTTCTTCCCAGAGCCTGAGCTTGGCCAGGTTGCAGCATGCACATGTTTCAAAGATGCTGCTGGGATGCAGGCTCAGACAGCCTCACACTGGAAGTTCATAGGGAAGCCAAGAAAGCTGTTGCAAGCCTCATGCTTAGTTTGCATTCATTTCCTTCCCAAACTCTCATTACCCAAAAGAGAAAGAGAGAGAGAGTGAGTGCATTCAAGTGGAAATGGTTGGAGTGCACTTAGAGGAATTTAGCCAAAAGGAAAAGGATGATGGTGGCTTTTTTCTTTTTTTTTTTTTTATTTCTCTCTCAAAAAAAAAAAAAAAAAAGGAAAGAAAAAAAATCCTCCAGAACTTAAAACTGTTTTAATCAGCTGAAAAACATACGTGGGCTTTACAGCTCTGAGACAGCTTGCACAGGCTCTGATAAATGCCTATCGTTCATTTGCATACGCTAACAGCTACACTTTAATCAGCCTCCTAATCCCTGATGATATTAATGAATTTTTTTTATGCACTCTCTCTCCCCCCCCTTTCTCCTGGTTTTTTTTTTTTTTTTAGTATCATGTTTGCTAATTCAAAACCGATCAGCGGCTTCTGTGCGCCTTTTTTTATGCAGGAAATAATGGGTGAGCTTGGTACTCCTGTTATCCTGCTCTCACAAATAATTAAGACTACAAAGGGTACAAATCAGTCTGAATGCACGGCACAAAGGCTCAAGCTATGCAAAGGTCTTTTTCTCTCTCTCTCTCTTTTCATTTATTCTCTTCTTCTGACAAGAGGTGGCTTAGAAAGATACTTAGCAAAGCAATGAACTGGTCACTCCCCAAAAAGCAAGAATTTCCCAGCCATTTTCAATGCTCATGGTACACACAAGGACTTCTCTTTTTTTTAATGTTTTCTCACTCCGTTATTTGGTGCAGCCCTGCTTTTGGGGGAGGAGGCTGCCTGTTGGAGAAATCTTCCACCGAAACGTTTTACCTTTGTTTTGGTAGTTCTGCTTTTCTCCTTGGGAGGGCTTGGTATAGGAGGATGCTGCAGATTTTGGATGGGGAACCTAGAAAGGTATTTCTTGCTTATGTGGTAACAGGGAAAAGGAACAGAGGAACAAATCATAGAATCATAGAATGATTAGGGTTGGAAAGGACCTTAAGGTCATCAAGTTCCAACCCCCCTGCCATGGGCAGGGACACCTCGCTCTAAACCATATCACCCAAGGCCTCGTCCAACCTGGCCTTGAACACTGCCAGGGATGGAGCATTCACAACCTCCCTGGGCAACCTATTCCAGTGCCTCACCACCCTAACAGGAAAGAATTTCCTCCTTATATCCAATCTAAACTTTCCCTATTTAAGTTTTAACCCATTACCCCTTGTCCTATTACTACAGTCCCTAAAGAAGAGTCCCTCCCCAGCATCCCTACAGGCCCCCTTCAGATACTGGAAGGCTGCTATGAGGTCTCTACGCAGCCTTCTCTTCTCCAGGCTGAACAGCCCCAACTTTCTCAGCCGATCTTCATATGGGAGGTGCTCCTTTCCCCTGATCATTCTCGTGGCCCTCCTCTGGACTTGTTCCAACAGTTCCATGTCGTTTTTATGTTGAGGACTCCAGAACTGCACACAAATGAATCCATTTGTGGTGGAAAACTGCCTGCTTGAGCCCAAATGCAGAACATATCCAGTATCGGAGCGGATCAGAGGCTCTAGCCATGTCCTGGTGCTAATCCAGGCTTCAGCGTACCCAGAGACCTCATGTGACCTCCCAGCCCTTTAAGGCAATTTCCCTTTGCTCTGAATAGGGTCAACCAATGGATCCATCTGCTTCAGTCATGCAGATGTTTCCCTTCTCCTGGCCATCCTTGAAAGCATCCATGAAACTTGTAGGTGGAGGTTGTGCAAGACCCTCTGCAAGTCACCTCTACTACTCCAAGAGAAACGCCTTTTCATCTTGGAATTAAATCAGGTATAAAAGCAGTATTTCTGACTCCTGGATTTTGCAGAGAGCATGAAACACATTGCTCCACAGACCAACAGGCAGCCAATAAAAGTGCTACAGACTGTGACTAATTTGTGTAGAAATGGGTGGATGGACACACGTGAGACCAACATGGTGGACCAGCCAAGGAAGGCTCTGAGAAATATGCTTTCTCAACGGATCTGGTGACAAAGAGAGGGAGCCAAGTTATGCCACTGGTCATAGCACTGAAAACTACTGCTATAGTTTTGTAAAAATTAGGCACAATATGAAGTCACACTGACACTGAAAGACAAAAAATAACTGAATCTGGGCGGGTGATAAATAGAGACCTACCAAATGCATACAGAAACTAACAAACCTGATCATTAAAGCAAGCAAAATAGGGATTTGAAGAAATAAAAAAAAACCTCAGTGCAACATCTAAAGGAAGCCTACAGGCATGAATGAAATGTACAGGTCTAGATTTCCAAATTCCAGAGGATTTTTGTATTAGGAAGCTGGGTAAGGTTGATGGAAAAAAACACATACTTTTGCTCAGTAATTCTGTCAGGAGATGCAAGGAAGCATCTCTTTTGTGTAGTCTCAGCCCTACCATATCACATCCAGATCTCAGAGGATTAAGATAAGATTGATGTATCAGCAGATGAGCTAATTTTTAGGATGACCATAAGCATTGAGAACACTAAAATACTCATGTTCTTCAGTAACACTTTTGGTGTTAGCCAGATGAAGGCAGATGGATTAAAGCAGGTAAAAGCATGCAATAGCAGCAGAGCTTCCCAGCTCCAAGAAAAGCTCAGACCACCTTGAAAACCTCTACCAGGAGGCTTTTGGGGAATTCATGAGAGCATCAATACTAGTTTTCCTATAATAGTATTGGTATTGGAGCAATGACAGAAGATTATTGTTTGAACAAGACCCCTTGTGCAAGGCTTGGTACAAATGCAGAGCATAAAGATTTCTCTTTAAAAAGAGGTCCAGATAAACTAGTATCTTTTTCTTTCACCATGAAGGGGCACTGCTAATGTTCCTTGCAGGTAGTTCAGAACAACTCAAAGATAACTGAAAATAGAATAAGGTTTGATGTAAAGAGAAACTGCCAGAGAAGCATCAACACTGGAATATTCTGAGGTTAACATGAACCTTATAACCCAGGCTGATGTAAGGTCATTTTGGTCATGACTGCCTTGCAAGATGATGTCTGAGCCACTGGCTAAAACATACCAAAAGCTATGCCTGCACTCTTAAAACTGAATACTGGCAATTGTTTTAGATCACGAGTATTTTCATGAATATGTTTATAGGAAGAATTCAATCAAGGTAGAAAGAGACCATAAAGCACTAGGAGCCATAGAGCAAAATCCATTGTACAATGAGCCACCTGGACTTCAGAAAAATGTAATGAAATTGCAAAAGTACTCATTAAATATGAAATACAGACCCAGTAAGGAGCTTAGCAGATACGCTTTCAAGAACACCTATAAATAATGAAAGCAATGAACTGCAGGAAGAGGAGTTTGAAGTAAATATG